CCTAAAGGAATCCCATAGGAATCCCATAAACCCTATACGAACCCCAACGATTCCTAGAAGAATCCAATGAATCCTATATGAATCCTGTAGGGATCCTATAGGAACACTGTAGGGATCCGATGAATCCTTTACGAATCTTATGGGAATCCTGTTGGAATTCTACGAATCCTAAGCGAATCCGATGGGAATCCTATAGGAACCCTATGAATCCTATACGAATCCGATCGGAATCCTATAGGTCCTATATGGATCCTGTAGGAATCCTATACGAACCCTATAGGGATCCGATGGAATCCTATAGGATACCTATAGGAATCCTATAGGAATTCCATGAACCCTATACGAACCCTATAGGGCTCCCATAGGAGTCCTATGAATCCTGAACGAACCCTATAGGCATCCGATTGGAATCGTACGAATCCTATACAAATCCTATGCGAATCCTATAGGGCCGGTGGATTGTGAGATAGTCGCAGGCGGGAGCCCTCGGCATTGATGTTGTTGTTGTTGTTGAACATTATTAATTCTAAAGAATAATTATTGTTGGGCCCCCTGGTGCGCGCCCCCCCCGCCGCGCCTAGGCCGCAGCCACGTTTTCATCACTTTCGTGAGGAAGCCTCAGGTAATTCGATGTCATCCAGATCCGGTTGTTTTGTTGTAATCCGCTTTCCCTTGCAAAAAACACTATAAAATGAAATTTCTTGTTCAAATATAATCAAATTTCAAGAATCCCTTGCAAAAAATAAGGTAAAGTGGACATTCGCGCGCGCAAGACGAAATCCTTCCAAAAGCTTAGTGTTCGGAGCGATTTCAACATAAAAACATCAAAAAACCAATGGTTTTTCAACAAAAAAATGTCAAAATCTCATCCCGCGCGCTCTTGCGGATTCGTAGGAAACCCAACACTTTTTAAACATTTCTGTCAAACGGGCTTTTGCGAGCAACTTTTTCGAACTTCTGCGACAACGGTTGCGCACCTGCCAGGGCCATCATCCCTGTCAAATAATACCATGCGGGACACATTCGTCTCTCTGTATTATGTATTGTATGGCACAATTGCACCATGCTGGGCACATGCGCGCCCCGAATAAGTGACCAAGTTCTGTGGGTGTGTACCCCACGCCAGTGTAGTAGCCACGGTCGTCCGCACGCCACGAAGTGAAGTGTCCCAACGTCATAGGGCGGGAAGCTGGGTTTGGGTGGTCGCGAAGAGTCGTTTGGATATTTGGTAGAGCTTGTAATGCCCCCCCACGAAGTGGGGGTATTGCCTGGTGTCGTATGAAAACCCTGGCACTGGGGAGAACACCACGCGTTCGGGTAAAATGATTGTTGTTGTTGTTGTTGTTGTTGTTGTTGTTGTTGTTGTTGGGGGGAGCCAGCCCGGGACACGACGCCCGTCCCTATCCATCAACAACAGCAACACCACCAACAACAACACCAACATCAACAACGACAACAGCAGCAACAACACCAGCAGCAACAACAACAGTAGCAGCAACAACAACAGCAGTCACAACAATCAGCTTAAGACTGTTCGCTCTTACTGGCACGCGTGTCCTGCATTCTGTATACCCCAACCCTCGATACCCGCCCACTTCGTCATCGATTGCGCCCCCTTTCGGGGGGAATCTCTTCCTTGTCGGCCACTGACCGAAGCGCGAAAAAGTCTCGAGCGGCAGCGCCGTTCCTGAGTTCGGGGGCCTCTCTGGCCAAGGGCTCTCGGAAAACCGATGGGCAAATATCGAAGGGAAACCCATGTCGCCGTATCCCGGCCTCCACCAACTTGCCTGAATTACGGGAAAGTCTCGAGCGAGAGCACCGTTCCTGAGTTCGGGAGCATTCTTGGCCAGGGGCTCTCGGAGTAAATCTGGAAGAAATATCGAACAGGAGCCCTTGTCGTCGTGGTTGGGTCTCCGCCAAGTCAATTGAATTGCGAAGAAGTCTCGCACGAGAGCGCCGTTCCTCAGTTCGGGGGCCTCTTTGGCCAGGGTGCCTCGGGGTACACTGAAAGGAGGTGTCGAAAGGGAGCCGCTGTTGTCGTAGATGGGCCTCCAAGGGCCCACATTTAGGCTCAAGCCAACGCTCGACCAGGAGCCTCGCTTTCAGAGAAAATTGAATTAGCTGGCGTCGAGGCGAGAGCGCGCGGAACCGTTTCCGGGTATCCACAAGAAGTATTATGTCGAAACGACACCACCAACAACAAGCATTATAAGACTGTTCGCTCTTACTTGCCCGCGGGTCATCCAAAACGAATTCCCCACACCCTCGATACCCGCCCTTTCGTCTTCGATCATACCCCTTTTGGGGGGATGTTTTCTCTTTGCGGGGGGCGGCGGGCGTAGACAGGCGGGCAAACCTGAACGGGCGGACACTCTTTCGTGGGCGTAGATGTGCCCGCCATTGGAATTGGTGTGGGCTCTGCAAATAGAGGAGGGGGAGAACGAGGGAGAGTGGGAGGAACGGAGGGGGGGGACGAAAGAAGAGGGAAAACGCCAGGAGAAAAGGAACGAAGAGGGGGGTGGTTGATTAGAGGCACAGAGAGACAGAAAGAGAGAGAGAGAGAGAAACAAAACAAAAAATAGACGAGAGAAGTAGAGAGAGAGAGAGAGAGGGGAGAGAAAGAGAGAGAGAGAGAGAGAGAGAGAGAAAGAAAGAGGGAGGGAGGAGGCAGGAGAGGGAAGGGAGAAGGGAGGAGGGAGAGGAGGGAGAGGGGAGAGGGCGGAGAGGCATACGGATGAGGGAAGAGAGGGGGGAGAGAGAAAAGAGGAGAAGAAGGAGGAGGGAGGAGGGAGGAGGAGCAGGAAAGTAAGAGCTTGAACATTCGACGAAATCCTAAGCGAAAACGCCGCTTCAGGAAGTCCCGGGCGGGAGCCCACGACGGGCGGGCGATCCCATGACGGGCGGGTCGGGCGGGTGGGACATTCAAGCAGTATGCCTGAGTATGGCGAGAGCGCGACTCCCAAGCAAATTGTGACAGCGTGCTTGGCGCAGCGTGTTTCCTGAGCGTCGAAAACGTGATTTTTGGATACATTGCGTGGCAGTCGCAGGCGAGAGCGCAATTCCTGAATCAAATGTAAAGGGGCTCTCTGGCGGGAGCGGGGGTCTTTATTACATTGAAAAGAAATCTTGATTCAATTGCAAGTCTCAAGCGGGGGCGCCGTTCCTGAGAGTCCCGAGCGGGAGCGGGGGTCCTGACAATTGCGACGACTTCGCAGGCGGGAGCACCGATCCGAGGTAAATTGTAAGGAACTGTCAGGCGGGAGCGGGGGTCATGAGTAAATTTGAAGGAAGTCTCATGCGGGAGCCTTTATTGTTGTTGTAATCTGGGGGCCAGGGGCGCAGTTTAAATACCAAGATTTTCCCTGTCAAAAAAAAAAGGTGCGTGCGTCGAACGACACACTTTGATTGAGAAAAACAATATGCACCAGTGAGGGGGGATCAACAATAATGATTCTTCAGCAATGAAGGATCAACCCAAACAAAACAACAACCATAATTTTAAGAATGTTCGCCCTTATCTGCTCGAGTGTCCAATAACGCGTACTTCCCAAACCCTCAATAACCGCCCTCTTCGTCTTCGATCGGGCCCCTTTTGGGGTATAACTTTCTTCCCTGCAGGCCGGGCCCTGGCAAGCGGCGGGGCGGCCGCGGACCGTCGGCTTGGCCAGGGGAAGCGCTGATCGGCGGGGTGGCCGCGGACCGTCGACCCGACCCCAAGGGGGACGGGCAGGGGACCGACCATGACGACGACGTCGACGACGACGACGTCGACGACGACGACAAGGACGACGACGGCGACGACGAGCGAAAGCGAGAGCGAGAGAGAACGACAGCAGGGACACGAAGGACACGAAGTAGGCCACGAAGGGCGGCAGCGGGGACACGAAGGGAATGCGTATGGGGCCACGAAGAGCGGGGGCCACGAAGGGCAGATAATGCGGTGTCACAGAAGGCAACGATGGGGCCACTGAGGGTAGCAACTGGGCCACGTAGGACAGTGAGGGGGCCACAAACGGCGACAGCGGGGCCACGAAGGGCATGCACATGGGGCCACAACGAGCGCGAACGAGCGGGGGCCACGAAGGGCATACGTATTCTGGGCCGCGGAGGGCAAGGACGGGGCCACTAAGGGCAACAACGGGGCCACGAAGGGCAGCAAGGGGGCCACGAAGGGCAACAGCGGGGCCACGAAGGGCATGCATACGAGGCCACCACGGGCGCGAACGAGCGGGGGCCACGAAGGGCATACATATATGAGGCCACGAAGGGAGCGAGGGGGCCACGAAGGGATGCAACGGGGCCACGAACGGCAGCGAGGGGGCCACGAAGGGCTGCAACGGGGCCACGAAGGGCTGCGACGGGGCCACGAACGGCAGCGAGGGGGCCACAAAAGGCTGCAACGGGGCCACGAAACAAAGCGAGGGGACCACGAAGGGCTGCAACGGGGCCACGAAGGGCAGCGAGGGGGCCACAAAAGGCTGCAACGGGGCCACGAAGGGCAGCGAGGGAGCGAGGGGGCCACGAAGGGCTGCAACGGGGCCACGAAACAAAGCGAGGGGGCCACGAAGGGCTGCAACGGGGCCACGAAGGGCAGCGAGATCCAGATGTTTAGGTAATCTATGAGGGAGTCCTAAGCGTGAGCGCGACTCCTGGGTGCGTGGGTGTCGGGACCGCGGCGCTTGAGTAAATTGCAAGAAATTCCGACGCAAGGGCGCTATTCTTTAGTAAATTGCAAGCAAGGCTCCAGCGAGAGCGCGACTCCAGAGCGCTGGAAGAGCGATTCTGGAATAAGTTGTGAAGAGGTCCCAAGCGAGAGCGCGATTCCTGAATAAAATGCAAGGAAGTCTCGGGAGGGAGCTGGGGTCCTGGCTAAATTGTGCGGAAATCTCAAGAGCGGGACCGTTGTTGTTGTAACCCAGGGGCCAGGGGCCCAGCTTGAGCCTCAAAACTTTCCCTGAAAACAAAAAAACAGGGTGCGAGCGTCGAGGGGCACACTTTGATTGAGAACAAACATTTTTTTGACATTCACGAGCATGCTACCACGACGTGCACTCTGGTGGTGGTGTGGCCAGTAGAATCTGACACTTGCGTTCACATGTTAGAAATATCCAGAGTTAGATCGGACCTCCTTGAGAGAAGGGGATAGGAAGACGGCGGGCGGAGAGGAGGAGGAGGAGGAGGAAGAGGGAAAAGAGGAATGGATGAACTCATGCAACCGAACGGCTTTACGCTCGGTACGTGTCCTACAGATACGAACGAACGGTGACGTTCTTTAATCGGCTGGTGTTCGGCCTAACATGTATACGAGGCCAACGAACCTGCCGACACAAAACTCCGAACCCCCCGACCGCCCGTGCAGCCCAGGGGGTCAGAGCAGGGCAGGGAGAAGGAGGAGGAGGACGAGGAGGAGGACGAGGAGGGCCCAAGGGGAGGACGAGGAAGAGGGGGCAACTGGTGGCAGCTTCTGTGCCCCCAGGCCCCACGAACCCGCCGCGCGCGGTTTGTTGACTGCATGGGAGAGAAGAAATTTGGGGGGGGAGAGGGGCGTGGGCGTTGCATGCTGGGCTGTCTCGGGGGAGGAGCAGAAGCCATGCCCAGCCAAAAAAACTGGACCGAACAGAATCAGCGTTTGAACATCTTGCACGCTTTCCTACCGGAATTGTGCCGCACGTTGGCGCCCAGCCAGCTCACAGTTGCTGCCAGCTCACACGGATGCCCAGCCACAGCATACCTCGCTGGGCATAGCACTAGTCCGAGGATTCACGTATCTACTACCTGGTTCAATCAATACGCATCCAAGCGAACTGCATCGCGCATTTGCATCAGACTGAGGGCGAGGGCGTGCGAGCAACGCATGCAAAGAATGAGGACGGGGTAGACGGCGCGGAACTGTTCGAATAGAGTGTTGTCCGGACGATCTTGCCGAGATTGCCTGAGGCCTGCAGGCTGTCCTGGCAATTTGCGAAGATGCCGGTGTCCTCGTCCAGAACGATCCACCTTAGGGTTTCGTTGAAATCATCCAAGTTGTCGATCTTCCCGAGGATCATGGCCTTATCCTCTGGCCTGGACGACTCCATGTCCTGCACGCGCAGATTCATCAACATGTTTTGGTGCAGCTCGAGGCTCTTGTGGGTATGGAATTTGACAGCTGCGTTTATGTACGAGGAGTGCGCCAAATGAATCTCGCTAACACACCATGCCCGCTTGAACAAATCGAACTCGCGGTCGATGGCTATGACCTGCCGGAAGGACGGGTCATTCGAGCTGAGGTAGAGCATCATGTCATCAAACTTGTTCATCTCACACAAAACCCCCTCCCCGTCGAAGCGCAATGGCGGCGTGCTGTTCCAGAATTTAGGGTGATTACAACTGCAGACAGGATGTACTCTGCCGCTGACTGGATCCTGCTGCTGCCCTGGGTTCGCACCACATATTCCTGCATGCTGATTGACGCAAGCAGCACAGACCCAATACGAAATCCCCAGAAAGCCCCTCTGGTGCAACTCCTTCATTAACACTGGCAATTCGGCTGGTTTCAACCTGGGCAGCACCGCCTCATACGTGATGAGACCAAGAGCATCCGCCACAATGGCAGCAATAAGATCTGCGAATTTATTTGACCACGCATGCGTAACCATGCGCTCCGCCCGGATAGAGGCCCCTCCCATGAGCTGCGTAGACAACGCGCACGGCCCAAAGGCCGAGTTGCCGGCCGTGAGCGGAATGACGGCCTGCCGGACGACGTCGGCTGTGGAATGCACATCTGGGTTGAAGTGAGGCATGTAGCGCTGTCCAAGTCCAGCGTAGAAGCCTAGGAGTGCCCCTAGTGTAATGCCCCGCTCCGATAGCTCTTTTACTTTATCGTCCCATTCTTGACTTCCTGATGCATCGGTGCAAGGTTTAGCAGAATTCGCAGTGCACTGAGCAACAACTCGCGAGGGCTCATGGACGCGTACCAACCCCGACAGCAGCAATACGACAACCGCATTCGCGACCAGGTCGAATCCGTAGAAGAATGTCTTGAAGATCTCATATATGTAGTCGTGCTCGTCTCGGTGATAAACGTACAACACGTGCGACGCAAATTCCGTCCCCAATGCCAACGTAGATGTAACGCCGCAAAACAATGTTGCCATCAGCTGCCGTCGCACTGTGCGATAGCTCCGCTGAGCCTCCTCTCCACGGCGTCCAACGGTCTGCTGCGCGACGTTTCGGGCAACACGGAGCGGATTCCTAAAAGCATGGACTGCTATCGCAAGACCGACAACTGTGAGTGCCAAGATTATCGACAGCAGGGTCTGGGCCAACGTGCCAAACCAATCCTGCGACACAGCCGTCGTGAGCCGAACAACAACGCAGGCACTGACACCGAGCAACACCACGCACTGAAGTGCAATGACGGCAGAAATCCTTTTCAGGTGGCTCTCTTCACCCTGGGCACGCTGCAGAGCCGCAATCCTCATTCGCAGCAAGAAGCTGAGGTAGGTGGCAGAAGACGCCCAAACGACCTGCCGAATGTTCCACAGCCAAGTGCCAGGATTCGGAGATCTCGTATCACACCATTGATAAGCCCTTCCGAAATTCCACCCTAAAGCCAATAACCAATTCAGCAGAAGCCAACATCGGGCATGGATGACAAACACAGACGCGGTGGGTACGTATTTTAAACCAACAGCGGCACACACGGCCACTAGAAGTGAAGTGATGGTGCTCGCAATTATTCTAAAGTGGTAGGTGTCTCCCCAAGCGTCCCAATCTGGATGTGGAAAATACGATGCATCTATTACCCCATTGCATGTGTTGATGAGGCTTAGGTGGGAAATGCTTTCTGACGTGGTATTATCCTGCCCATATCCACTCCATCCATAGCCCATCCAAACTGGAGCAAATGCAGGAAAGAGCACAAGGCTGATCATGACTATGCGCATTACACCGGCAACAAGGGAAATGGCTGGGCGCCGTCCCTTAGGTGGTGCACCCTGTTCGCTCGCCATGATCACTACAGAAGCGTGGACAACCATGTAAGCGGCTTCAGCCAATATGCACCGGTTGGGGGGATCAACAATAATTATTCTTCAACAATAATTCTAAGACTGTTCGCTCTTATCTGCTCGCGCGTACCTCACCACGTGTCTCCCAAACCCCCGATACCGCCCTCTTCGTCTTCGATCGTACCCCCTCTGGGGGGTACATATACCTGAACTGCCACGTGCATTGGGCGCTAAAAGAGCAAGAGGAGCGAGAAGGGAGATATATAGTGATACACACACATATAAAGAGAGAGAGAGAGAGAGCGACAGAGAGAGAGGGAAAAAGAGAGAGAGAGAGAGAGAGAGAAAAAGCGAGGAGGGAAGGGGTGGTGGAAGGGAGGGAGGCAATGGACAAGAGGGAGGGAGCAAAACTGCGGACGAGAGAAGCAGCACGAAGGGTAGCAATGGGGCCACTGAGGGCACGAGCGAGCGGGGGCCACGAAGGGCGTATATATGGGCCGCCAAGGGCAGCAACGGGGCCACAATGGGCAGCGATAGGGGCCACTGAGGGCAGCAGTGGGGCCACGAAGGGCAGCGTTGGGGCCACAGAAGGGCATTGACGGGGCCACACAGGGCACCAAGCGGGCCACGAGCAGCTACGCTGGGGCCACGAAGGGCAGCAACGGGGCCACTGAGGGCGCAAGCGACGGGGGGCCACGAAAGGCAGCGTCTGGGGGCCACTGAGGGCAGCAGCGGGGCCACAATGGGCGGCGGGGGGGGGGGGCAAAAGGAGCTTGGGGCCGGGCCACGAAGGGCAGCACTGGAGCCACTGAGGACACGAGCGACTGGGAGCCACGAAGGGCGCACATATGGGCCACACAAGGCAACGAAGGGGCCACTGAGGGCAGCGGGGGGGGGCACACGGGGCTACACTGGGGCCACGAAGGGCAGCGATAGGGGGCACTGAGGGCAGCAGCGACTGGGGGCCACGAAGGGCGTATGTATGGGCCACAAAAGGCAGCGAGGGGCCACCGAGGCCAGCATCGGGGCCACGAAGGGCAGCGACTGGGCCACAAGGGGAGGAGCAATGAGGCACAAAGAGAGCGAGCGAGCATGGGGCACGAAGGGCATGACCCTAACGGGCGGGCCGAACGGGCGGATCGATCGCGAGTCCTGCGTGATTAGCCCAGAAATTTCCAGCGAGAGAGCGATTCCAATGTAAATTTGAAGAAGTCCCCAGCGAACGCGCGATTCCTGAATGGCAAGAGCGCGGCACCTGAGTATGCGAGGAAGTCTAAGGCGGGAGCGCGATTCTTGAGTAAATTGCGAGGTCTCAAGCGGGAGAGGGGGACCGGAATAAATTTCGAGGAAATATCAAGCGGGAGCCGCTGTTGTTGTAAATCGGGGGCCAGGGGCACAGTGTGAGGAGGAATACAATCCCTGATAAAAAACCTGGCGCGAGCGCCGGGAGGGAACTCCAATGAACAACAACAACAACAACAACAATCATTTAAGACTGGGGACACTCCGTTCTCACCAGTGCCAGGGTTTTCATAGGAGGCGGGCAATACCCCCACTTTGTGGGGGGGCCGGTTCAAGCTCTACCAAATTTCCAAACGACTCTTCGCCACCACCCACACCCAGCTTCCCGCCCTATGACGTTCGGACACTTCACTTCGTGGCATGCGGACGACCGTGGCTACTATTCAGGGCCCCGCGGCCGACGACGACGGCGTGCGCGCGCGAAGAAAAAACGAATGTGTCCCGCATGGTATTATTTGACAGGGATGATGGCCCTGGCAGGTGCGCAACCGTTGTCGCAGAAGTTCGAAAAAGTTGCTCGCAAAAGCCCGTTTGACAGAAATGTTTAAAAAGTGTTGGGTTTCCTACGAATCCGCAAGAGCGCGCGGGATGAGATTTTGACATTTTTTTGTTGAAAAACCATTGGTTTTTTGATGTTTTTATGTTAAAATCGTTGCGAACACTAAGGTTTTGGAAGGATTTCGTCTTGCGCGCGCGAATGTCCACTTTACCTTATTTTTTGCAAGGGATTCTTGAAATTTGATTATATTAGAACAAGAAATGTCATTTTATAGTGTTTTTTGCAAGGGAAAACGGATTACAACAAAACAACCGGATCTTGATCACATCGTATTACCTGAGGCTTCCTCACGAAAATGATGAAAATGTAGCTGCGGCCTAGGCGGCGCAGGGGGGGCGTGCACCAGGGGGCCCAACAATAATTATTCTTTAGAATTAATAATGTTCAACAACAACAAACAAACAACAACAACAACAACAACAACAACAATCATTTTACCCGAACGCGTGGTGTTCTCCCCAGTGCCAGGGTTTTCATACGACACCAGGCAATACCCCCACTTCGTGGGGGGGCATTACAAGCTCTACCAAATATCCAAACGACTCTTCGCGACCACCCAAACCCAGCTTCCCGCCCTATGACGTTGGGACACTTCACTTCGTGGCGTGCGGACGACCGTGGCTACTACACTGGCGTGGGGTACACACCCACAGAACTTAAGAACCCAATGGTTTTGGGAGATTTCGGCGTGCGCGCGCGAAGAAAAAACGAATGTGTCCCGCATGGTATTATTTGACAGGGATGATGGCCCTGGCAGGTGCGCAACCGTTGTCGCAGAAGTTCGAAAAAGTTGCTCGCAAAAGCCCGTTTGACAGAAATGTTTAAAAAGTGTTGGGTTTCCTACGAATCCGCAAGAGCGCGCGGGATGAGATTTTGACATTTTTTTGTTGAAAAACCATTGGTTTTTTGATGTTTTTATGTTAAAATCGCTCCGAACACTAAGCTTTTGGAAGGATTTCGTCTTGCGCGCGCGAATGTCCACTTTACCTTATTTTTTGCAAGGGATTCTTGAAATTTGATTATATTAGAACAAGAAATGTCATTTTATAGTGTTTTTTGCAAGGGAAAGCGGGGGGGAACAAAACAACCGGATCCGGACATAATCCACTTTTCTGAAGCTTTCGCGAAAAAATGATGAAAATGTAGCTGCGGCCTAGGTTTTGGAGGGGGGTCGCGCACCAGGGGTCCCAACAATAATTATTCTTTAGAAGTAATAATGTTCAACAAGAACAGCAAGAACAACAAGAACAACAAGAACAACAAGAACAACAACAACAACAACAACAACAACAACAACCACAACAACCACAATAACAATTCAACGCCAACAACAACAGCAGCAACAGCAGCAGCAACAACAACAACCATTCTAAGACAGTTCGCTCTCTCTTGCCCGCGGGTCATCCAAAACGAGTTCCCCACACCCTCGATACCCGCCCTTTTCGCCTTCGATCACACCCCCTTTGGGGGATTTTTTCTCTTTGCGGGGGGCGTCGGGCTTAGACAGGCGGGCAAACCTGAATGGGCGGACAATCCTTCGTGGGCGTATATGCGCCCGCCATTGAAATTGGTGTGGGCCCTGCAAAAAGAGGAGGGGGAGAGAACGAGGGAGAGTGGGAGGAATGGAAGGGGAGGGACGAAGGAAGAGGGAAAACGCCAGGAGAGAAGGAGCGAAGAGAGGGGCGGTTGATTAGAGGCAGAACGAGAGAGAGAGAGAGAGAGAAACAAAAAGACATATAAGAGAGGTAGAGAAAGAGAGAGAGAGAGAGAGAAAGAGGGGACAGAGAGAGAGAGGAAGAAAGAAAGAAATAAAGAAAGAAAGAAAGAAAGAGGGAGGGACGAGGCAGGAGAGGGGAGGAAGAAGGGAGGAGGGAGAGGAGGGAGAGGAGGAAGAGGGGATAGGGCAGAGAGGCATAAGGTTGAGGGAAGAGAGGAGGGAGAGAGAAGGGAGGTAAGGAGGGAGGAGGGAGGAGGGAGAGGGAGGAGGAGCAGGAAGGTAAGAGCGTGAACGTTCGAGGCAGTCCTAGGCGAAAGCGCCGTTCCTGAAGGAAGTCTCGGGCGGGAGCCCACGACGGGCGGGCGATCCCCTGACGGGCGGGTCGGGCGGGTGGGACATTCAAGCGGGATGCCTGAGTATGGCGAGAGCGCGATTCCCAAGTAAATTGTATGTAACGGCATCCTTGGCGCAGCGTGTTTCCTGAGCGTCGAAAGCGCAATTTCTGTATAAATTGTCTGGAAGTCACAGGCGAGAGCGCAAATTCTGAATACAATGTGAAGGGTTCTCTGGCGGGAGCGGGGGTCTTGATTAAATTGCGAGGAAGTCTTGATTCAATTGCCGGGAAGTCTCAAGCGGGAGCGCCGTTCCTGAGTAAATTGTGCGGAAGTCTCAAATGGGAACGGGGGTCCACACTAAATTGCGAGGAAGTCACAGGCGGGAACACCGATCCTGAGTAAATTGTGAGGGAGTCTCAGGAGCGGGGGTCCTCAGTAAATTTGGAGGAGGTCTCAGGCGGGAGCCGTTGCTGTGGTAATCGGGGGGCCAGGGGCCCAGCTTGAGCACCAAAACTCTGTCAAAAAACAGGGTGCGAGCGTCGAGGGACACACTTTGATGTAGAAAAAAGTATGCACCCGTGAGGTGGATCAAGAGTAATTATTCTTCAGAAATGAGGGTTCAACAACAACAACAACAACAAAAACATCATCAACAACATCAACAGCAACAACAACAGCAACAGCAACAACAACAATATCACCAACAACAACAACAACAGCAACAACAGCAACACCAACAATACCACCACCACCAACAGCAACAATGCCAACAAAAAGACAACAGAAAAGAGGCATCGAGGGTGCCCATGTCGACTCAGGCGGCGCAAGTGGACCAGGAGGCTGCGGAGAAGGTCCCGGGGCCCGAGGTCGAAAGCCCCGCCCTGCCCGTCGATGCGGTCCATCTCACATCCGCTGGGCCGGGCCGTCGGGCACGACAAGCGGGCCGCGAGATGCTTTGCGCCCTGTGCTCTGCTTGCTGCAGTTGGCCCCAAGGGTCGTGGCATGACCTTACCGACCAGCGCCGTGGGGCGCTGGGACCGCCCAGGTCGACCCGTTCTTCGCAAGCGAGAGAGAATCAACTGAAACTCAAAATGGTGCGAAACGGCTCAGCGTCAGGACGGGCAAGGTCTTGGAGCTATCTGTTTTGTGCGAAAGC